ATGAACCTAGTTTAAAGCCCTCCTCGCTAGGTTTGCAAGCCTGCCCGCGAAGATGCTCCTTCCTCTCTTCGTTAGGTGGATCCCATCTCTTCCCAACAATCCTTGCGCCCGGAACAGAGTCCCATGGTCAAAGAAACCAAAGCCCTCTCTGCAACACCATCTGCGCAACCACGCATTTACGTCCTCAATTCGACGATCCCTGCCCAGTCCTTTCCCTTCAACAGGGAGGATGGAGGAGAATACCACTTGCGCTCCAAATTCTTGAATCCTTCTTCCTAGCGCTACATAATCTGGACACCATCTGCGCAACCACGCATTTACGTCCTCAATTCGACGATCCCTGCCCAGTCCTTTCCCTTCAACAGGGAGGATGGAGGAGAATACCACTTGCGCTCCAAATTCTTGAATCCTTCTTCCTAGCGCTACATAATCTGCAGTAACATGCTCAAGATCATTCTTGGCCATATCATTAGTTCCCACGTGGAGAAGCAGGAAGCTTCAAGTTGCGTAGCTTATTTTGGCTTTAGCCTTCCTGTGTAAACACACCTTGAGTATGTACCATTCGCCATGAAAAGAGAGAATTTTCATCAAGAACTTCACACCAATTCTTGTTTCTCCAAAAGAATTAAAGGACATGGTGAAATTATGATGAATCAAAATGGTTGATGTTAAAAAGTGAGATGATATAGCTGAATCAATTCTACTTTTGGACAGAGGTCAGAGGGAGAGTCAAAGAAACTTGAACAACCTATTGGTAATGCTCTTCCCCATGGATACAGAAATCAGATGTGGTGGGAGGGTCAGTCCCAGCCCCAGGAGGCAAAGAGAGGGTGGCTTGGATGAGCCCAGCGGGTGGGGAGGGGAGAGGGTTATATCACACAGGTTATAACCCCTCTCCCAAAGATTATAAAACAAAAATGGTATAATTCCTGAGCAAGCGTTCACCATGACATCACTGTACCTACATGCTTGCTGAATGCAAACACCAGCTCAAGAGTCCCTGTTGTAGGCAATACTGACTAGCTAGAATTTAAGCCAAGAGATTTTGCTTCTTCAGTGGACACACTCAGAACAGCCAGATGACAGCAAAAGTAACAAAACAAAGATTAGTTTGAATAATGATTATAATGAGCAATGAACAGTCTGCAAATAAGTAGGTAACTGTCTTTCTTAGGGAAAACATCCATATGCAGTGCAAGTCATTAGTTTTCATGCTTTTTTCTATTCATCACTCTGCATTGTAAGCTGGGGGGTTGGCTGGAAGAAGAGAATGATTCTTGATGGCTTGGGGGGAGGGGAGATGTAAACTGCTGGAAAGGGTCCAAAGTGGTGGCTGACCTCATAACCCAGGAAAGACAGTTTTTAAAAGGTCAGCCTGCGCTGGGACTATCCCCTCTTATTTGCATAGCATGATTGATAGCACCACCATCTCTCACTATTCTGGCACTAAATATACCAAGTTATTGTCTATCTCTGCTGTGGACATGATACTAGCTGCCCTGTGGTGGGGGACGGTGGAAGGAGTTTTTTCCATTTCCACCATCTTGTCCCACGTGCAGTTGGGGTTTTATCACCTTTCTCACAGCAGGTTTGAGTGGGCCTTGTTCACGCAGAACATAATGGGCAGTAGGCCATATGTTACAACTCATT